CATCAGTAGCTTGATTTTTTTTTGTAACAGAACAGGCTATAGTACAAATACAAACATTTGGCACAGATCTATAAGCCCTATCGGCAAGTGATGTATATACGGTTTATGGAGAATTTCATTGGCTTTCATTTGCCGTATTTTATATTAAGATTTTTAAATTGGTTCGTAAAATATACGAGATTAAAAGGAACCTATTTTTGCTTAAAGCTGAATAACGGTTAATTGCAAATATCTCGAAAACTTATCCATAGAAAAAAAATTAACTCGATTTTTGGAATCACCAAACAATTCTACATAGGAATTGGATAGTGGCGTATGGAGAACATTTTTGCTGTAAACCAGTGTAATTGAACAGCCGAAACTTATCGTAACTTAATGCCACGTCGAAATCTGTTTCATTTTGAATCTCTAAGTTCTACGTTCCGTTAAGTTAAGTTAAGTTGCCATAATCAGGCTTTTAGAGTGATTAGTCGTTGCATTGGTTGGTATGAATGTAGAGTTTACAAGTGGAGAGTGGTGAGAGGACAAAGTTACCCAGCCGGACTTTTTGCGATTTTTTCCGACGTCGTCGTAAAGTGTATGGAGTGCGTATATGGGCAAAAAATGGCACGAAATTAAGTGGAATACGTTTCCACTCACATTGTATATAGAAGAAGTATATTTTTTGTATCAACGAAGTATATTAGTATAGTAAGTGAGCCGAAAAGCAAGACCGATCGGTATTTATGTAGATACATCAGTTGATGCGAAGCCATGAAACGGAGTGTAAATAAAAAGTGTAAGCACGTGTTTGTAAAATTGCAAAATAAAAAAAAGTAACTGTTAATAATTTTCGTGTAAACAACAAACAAGGAAGTTAGCAATGAAATCGAGAAATGCGTAAGTTCATTATTATATTTCCTAATAGCGTCGGCCGCTGTGGTGTAGTGGTAAGCAGTGCGCGCTTCCACTCCGCAACGCCTGGGTTCAAGCCCTGGTCAAAGCAACATCGCAAAAAATGTAGAAAAAGGTTTTTTCTTAACAGCGGTCGTCCCTCGGCAGGCAATGGCAAACCTCCGAGTGTATTTCTGCCATGAAAAACAGCTTCTCATAAAAATACAACCGCCGTTCGGAGTCGGCGTTAAACTGTAGGTCCCCCCGCTTTGTGTGACAACATCAAGGCGCACGCCACAAATCGGAGGAGAAGCTCGGCCAAACACTAACATATGTGTAAGCGCCAAACTATTATTATTATTATTATTATTAATAAATAGGTGAAAACAACCTTTTTTTAATACATACACTGCCGGCAAGAAGTATTGACACAGCTGCTTTTTTACAATATCTGTAACAATTTTTATTGTAATATTTTTCCGAAAATTTAAAAAAACTATATGGTTTATTCTACAACAAAAAACATACAGATATAATTTCTAAACTTTGTGCGAAACTCGCGAAAATTCAGCAAATTTGCATGCAAATTTTCAACTTTCTAATCATATTTTTGAGAAGTTTTTTTGTGTATGCAGATTTGTAGCCCAATCAATTTTATTTTTGGAAATTTTTTCACGCAGTCTCTTCCATACAAAAAAAAATTTTCGAAAATAATTTATATGGGAAAAATGCAAAATACCTTAAACAAAAAAAAACTCTTAAAAATCAATGCGCTTTTTGACTAACTCCGAATTTGCATTTTTTATAAAAGAATTTAAAGGCTATAAAACTGCATATTCAAGAAATTTCGAGAAAATCTGATTAAAAAGTTAAAAATGTGCATGGCAATTAATTGAATTTTCGTGAGTTTTGCACAAAGTTTAGAAATCATATTTTTTGTTGTAGACTGAACCACATTTTTATAAAGAATTAACGGAAAAAATATTATAATAGAAATTGGTGCATATATTGTGCAAATACTCTTTTCCGGCAGTGTATGTATTAGGGTGTTTTTTTGGGCGACTTTTCTTTTGTTTCACTCCCATCTCAAAATACCTATAAGAAAATTTCCTGAAAATTTGAGCCCTTATTATTAATATTAAGTGCTCGACCAAGGCGTGCAAAGATCTCTATTTTAAAATACACGTAAACTTTGATTTTTTCTTCAAAGTTCCAAAGCTCAGAGGCATTTTATGATATAATCATAGTCAATGACGGACTTTATTTCAGAATTTAATGTTTTACTAAAGTGTCCAGTGCGGCGTAACCCTAACTCCCACCCGCGAGGTAGTACGGGTCACTAGACCCAATTTTACATAAAATTATCGTTTTTTGCCGCTATATCGTATATAAAAACAGCTACAGAAAATATGTAAATGCCGAACTTGTAGAACATTCAATTCAGAACACCGAACCGCTAACATCGATATTTCTTGAGATATTGGGCTTTGAAGTTTTTATGGATTATTGAGCTAAATTGTAGAAATTGTTGATCAACTTCAAAGTCTAATATCTCAGGAAATATCAATTTAAGCGATTTTGTGTTCTAGAATTCTTTTGTAGGAAATTAAATGTCCTACAAGTTTATCATTTACATTTCTCTCTATCTCTTATTATTTCCGAGATAGGGGAAAAAAAACGATAATTTTATGAACAATTGTGTTTAGTGACCCGTACTACCTCGCTGGTGGGAGTTAGGGTTACGCCGCACTGGACAGTTTTGTAAAGCATTCAATTCTGAAAAAAAACCATCATTGACTATGATTATACCAGAGCTGTGTAATGATTGAATCAATTGAGTTTAAAAAATGTGATTGTTTCATTTTAAAAATTTAACAACCATTCTTGAGATTGGTTACAAACTGTAAACACAAAATATGTAGTATGTTATGGAATGGTTGGTACCCATTCACATAGAAAATGTGAATGCAAAAAAAAACTCATTCATGTATGATTATACGTTTATGGGAATGCAATCTGTCATTATCATTCAGTACTAATACTATTTTTTGTATCAGGGTTGAGATTTTTGTACTCAAAATATGAAATCAGAAGATTGCCATCTCCCTTAAAATAAGTAAACAAATAAATATTTGGTGCTAAATATTTTTGTGGTGCTAAAGTGTTTGGTCGAGCTTCTCCTCAACCGTGAGGCATGAGTTCTGTTGTTGTGACACAAATGGAGTCACCTACATATTTAAGACTGACTCCGAAGGCCAAATGATTTTATAAGAAGAGTTTTCAAAGCGGTAATATACTCGAAGGTTTGCTATTGCGTTCCGAAGGACGACGACTATTTTGAGTTATGGTCTGATCAGGGATCTAACCATTGTCCTATGGAGTGGAAGTACGCACATATCGTCGTTTAAGGTACACAACCACGTATCAACAAAATGCAAAACCGCGTATGTGAGGTTGCATAAATTATTTTCTAGAGAGTAAAAACACTCATATTTCAAAATGGTTCTCTTTTTATAAAGCAATCGCATTTCTGGCTAGTAGATTTCAAGACAAATGGATAAGGCTTCAGCCAAGCGCTTGTGTGAACAAATAAAATTTTTGGCATCAAATGTCAGTTACGCAGTTTTGCAGAATGATGATACGAGTTTTTGTATTTTAAACGAAAATATACGTATACATATTCCTTTATTTGTTCTCAAAATGCATGAAAACTATAGTACGCTTGCAAACAATTAATAACA